TAAAATACCCCAAGTTCACAAACCCCTTTTGCTAGTCATCTTATCTAATTCATTGATCTCCAACCCAAATCGACAATTTATCTTGCCAACATCCTATTCTAATGTGCACACCAAACTTGCCTAGGAACTAGTTTCACAATAAATATATTCAACTACACAAAAGATCCTTTCCAATTAGCCTCATGTCCAGAGCAATCTCAAAACTGAAGTTCTAACCATATCAACATGAATGATGCACAAATAATGTCATTTCATCTTTCACAGGTATCATAGTATATTCTCAACGAATAACATTTCAGCCATAATTCCATAACCAATAATAAGTAAACACTTAATTGAAGCAATTAACCAATTAATATCCAACCACATTAATCAAACAACAAGATCAAGAACATTATAACACTTCACTATCTTTTAATAAAATCAATTTCCGTAAAGGTTTTCCATATTCCCGTACCTAAATTCTAAAGCTAAAAACTTGAGTAAGCTCCTTGATCACCATTTATTTCTTCCATTATCTTTTCTTTTCTTATCTCTCTCTTTCTCTCTCTCTCTCTCTCTCTATAGATAAGTATATACAATGTCTACATTAACTCTTATTGCATGCACCACAACTCCTCATATTTTCTATTTCATTCTATATCTATTAGGAGTAGGCACTTAAAACAAAAAATCAAAACCGAAACACGAACCAAATCATATTGGATCGCACAGAATGAATCGGTTTTGAAACCGAACAGCAATGTAGGAAATGGTTTTGTTTCAGTTTTGGCTTTTGAAAACCGCACCATAAATATTAATAAAATGTCCATATTAGATGTCATGTTTTAATTGGTTGTTTGTTAAAGTCCATACATTTAGTATGAACTTAACAACACTAGAATATCATCATTCCTCACTTCCTTTCTTTAGTCTTTGACATAATATCATCACTCATCAGTAAGGGTGGGCACTTGAATCCATTGTCCTATTCTGAATATGTGATCAACTGGTAAATGTTCCACACAAAGGATGTTGAGAAATCGAATTGCAAGGGAAATAATACATAGCTTCCTCATAGATTTGAGGGTGCACCCATGCAAGTCTGTTTGCTGGGCAATTATAATATACATCTGCCATGAGCCCATGACCTTAGATCATCAATACATGTTATCTACTGCACAGAGTGGCATGTAAAGTTGCAAACCGTTCATTCATTTCTTCTTCCCAAGCGTTAAATTTTCGCTTGGCAATTGGTACCTAGCTAGCTAATAAGGTTGCTCTATGAGGACTTTTTATTGGTTTTTAATGAAGGATTAGTTTCATTTTATATACGGATTATGACATTTTGTAGCGGTGCGATTAGCTACTGCTTATGTTTAACTTGTACCATTTAGGAGCATTCTCTATGATGTTCAGATTGAGAAATGCTTAATAATATGTTCTAATGTATGATGCCTTTCATTTCATGTTCTGATTTATGATCTTACTAGAAACTACTTTTCTTCTAGATAATTTTTTTTTTTTTAAGTTCTTTGTTGATTGCATTCATGTAAAGCTTGAGATAATTGACCGTTTTGTATTTTAATTGTATATTTTTTTTGTAAAAACCGAACCGAAACTGTTTGAAAACACACCAAATCGATCCAAATGGTTTAGGTGCAGTTTGGGATTGAGGTGATTAAAAAAAAAGCTAGGATGAAAAAAAGCTGGTAAGGATTTTGGTGCCTGGTAAACATCCCAAAACAGCTTTATTTCAAAGTTTCACATGAAAAAAAGCCAAAAAGTGGAAGCTGCATTTTGCAGCTTCCAAGAAGCCGCTTATTTTTCCAAAACACGGAGCTACAGTACCCAATTAATGAATTTTTTCAATTTACCAAAACTGCCCCCTCCTTCTCCTTTCTCCTTCTCCCGATCCTACACTCTGCACTCTCTCTTTCTCTCTCGCAAAAAACTCCTACACCCCTCTTCCCTCCCGCCGCTGCACCTCTTCCTCCTCCTCCTTTTCGTTTCTCTCCGTCACTCTCAACGCCACACCGCCGTCGCCTTCTAGGTACCAGCTACTCGACTTGCTTTCAATTTTTGCTATAATTAATTAATTTAATTTTTAGGTTAGGGTTTGGCTGCTCTCTAATGATGAACCCATGTTTTGGGGTTTTCTGAAACAGGGTTTTGTGTGGCAACCAACAAACGAGCTCGATCTCATTGATTAGGTAAACATAACTCTTTCTGAAACAGGGTTTGGTGTTTGAATTAATGTTCTAATTTTCAGTTTTGGGGTTATGTTCTAATTTTCAATTTCGGGGTTTGAATTAATTCTCTAAATTTCAGTCTTGGGGTTTGAATTAAGGTTATTATCATGAGATCCATGAAGCAATTTCAGTTCTTAGGGTTTGATTGGCAACGATGGTGTTGCTTTGTTTGTTGGAGTTTTAACTTTGTTTGTTAGTTTTCGGGGAACCCAAACTTAATCGTTTAATTGGCTTGTTTGTTATCCTGTAAAATAGATATGCATGGATTTGCAATTCCATAGAAAACATGTTGTTAACTGGCCTTCTCTCTTTAACCTTGTTCTGGCTTTCTAGTTTCATATATATATATATATATATATATATATACTTAAGTTGGCTTCTAGAAATAGTTGGGGAGAGGAGAGAGGAAAAAGAAAATTTGAGAACTAGTGATTGGGTTTTCTTCTTGTGGAATACGAACACTTTGGCTTAAGCTGGATAGCTGTATAGGCTCATACTTTTTTTCCCAAATTGTTACATGTGGGATCCCTACCTAAAATTAAAAAAAGGCAAAAGAAAATGTCAAAATCTGATCCCCAGTTGAAGCAAAAGCTTGTCATTAACACCTTTCACTCGCTCTTTTGGCTCCATTTTCATGTGACCATTCACGTTCACTTCACTCCAACAAAACAAGAGAAAAAAATAAACAAATATATGAAAATTTAGAACCTCCCCCCTCCCCCCTCCAATCTTCTTCTTCTTCTTCCTCCTCTCTCTCTCTCTCTCTCTCTCTCTCTCTCTCTCTATAGTTCACTTCCAAAAATCTCTCAAGCCTTCAAGTTTGACCTAAATCTTGACCAAGTAGTTGTGTGAAACCGTTGAGATGTGAGGAAAAGGCTTTTTAATGGCTGATATATATTGTGTGCCACCTAATGCAGAAACAGGATATACCTGCTCACCAATATAAGACAGTTGATTCCACAAGTCTTGTACAGAGCTGAACAAGCATGCATAAGAATGTTAATATAGTTTGCTTTGTTTCGTAATGGTTGTGGGGAAGAAAGTTAATATATACACCTTCGATTTCAATACACCTTTTAGAGATACCACTACAAAGTTTAGATGTCAATGCTCAATAAATTTGTTGCATTTATACACTTAGGTTTCAGTAATAACGAGCTTGCAGAATCTGCTTTGCCTCATTATCAGTCCCCATTTAGGAACTTGTTTTCTACTGTGTGCATCTCTTCCTAGGAAACTTCATTTTGCATTCTCCAGACTCCACAGACAAAATTGTACTCTGCTATAAAGACGTTAACAACATCCATTCCGTGTAAAGGCTCCGTCATATTGTTGATTTTCATCCATTTGAATGCCACATATAAATGGGTTTCCTTATCTTGAATCTATAAATTCTATATGTTGTTGGTTTTAGTTTCAGTTTATCCGTCCAAGATGTTGAGATATGTGAAATAAGAAGCCTAAAAAGATCTGTATGAAGCTATGACCATCTTTTTTTGTTGCTATGTTATTTGTCATCATAGTAAATAGAAGAATGATGTAATAATAGGAAAGAACATTATAATTATGTCCTAAGAGTGTGTCTAAATACTTGCCAAATTCATGGATGAGAAAACAATACCTTGTACTTTTTAGAAGTTTTCAATGGGTAGAATGTGATCATCTCGTATGAACCTTGTTTAGTAAGGTGAACTGATCCTTCAACTAATTTCACAACTAAGGCTCTGTCTTTTGACATTTAAGTCTTCCAGAAGAAGTTTACTGGGTTGGGGTGACATTTTGCTAGTGAATACATCAAACGAAGACTATCTTCACCCCCTTCTCTCTCCCCCTCCCTCCAGGTCGTCAAAACAAAGAAAAAAACTGGAAGGGACTAATATGATAGTTCACAATTTGGCATGTGAAGTTGTATTTCCATTTTAGGGCTGCTTAAAAGCAAGCGTGCCCCATTTGATTAGCTTACATATGAATAGATGTCAAAAACTGTATAATGCTATAAATGTCGTATAAATCTTTCTAATATTAAAGAAAGAAATTGTCAAAATGTTTTAACATTTAGAATTATACAAACCAATTAGTTCGGTTGTAAGGATTAAGAAGATAAATTTAACATACTTATAATCTAGTTTATAGTGAAAACTGTTGAACTATTGTTTGATGTTCACATTCGTGAATTTGGTTCTCATATTCCTAGTTTTTGTCTGAGTAGGACTCCAAACTGATAGTCTATGATAAAGATGTCTGTCGTGATGCAACTTCCATGTGAAAGGGATGAATGCAAAGAATTACCTTGACAATCTTGGCACCAGTGTTATATGCAGACAATATCTGCAAGTAGCAAATTGGTTAAGGAAAAGTTGATCAGTCTTTGCAATGTCCATCACAATACCATAGCAGGACTCATAAGAAAGTTAGCTCCTGCTAGCATTGCCCTTTTCTAGTCAAGCACGCCACCCCAAGAATTAAATAAGTCATTTGAATTGTAGTGTGTGTGTATGCTAATGAATTTATTTTACTTCGAATATTTTAATAATTTATTATTTTATTTTAAAGACTAGAGAAAGGAAGCAAGAGAAGTTCTATATGTTCCTATTACTGTGGTGTTTGTTAGGTTTAATACCTGTTTTCTGCTTGTGAGTTGCTTCTGCTTATGTTAGGTTTACTACCTTTTTTTTGCTTGGTTATATTACAATATTATTTGTTCGTGTTTTAATATATATATATATATGTATATGTATATGTATATATACAAATCACTAGCTGGTATAGATGGCAAATAAGGAAGCATCTTCGTCAAATCCTACTGCTACATGGAATGGCCACAATATATCTATATTTTGTGGTCTATGCATCAAGGAGGTTGAGGCCGGACATCGTCCGGGCACTCACTTTGACAAAGAAGGATATGCAAATATTAGAGCTAACTTCAAGGCAGAGACAGGACATGATTATGAAAGAAAACAACTGAAAAATAAGTGGGATACACTTAAAAATGAGTGGAAGTTGTGGAAAGAGCTAGTTGGTAAAGAAACTGGCCTAGGGTGGAATTCGAACAAGGGTACCGTTGATGCCTCTGAGGAGTGGTGGAATAATAAAATTCAGGTTTGTGTATCTATCTTTTAATATATATTATGATATCATGCAATATGTATTAACTATATTCTTTCTTTACTTGTAGACAAACAAAGAATATGGAAAATTACGAAAAAGGGCATTAGTCCTGAGATGGAGGAAAAGTTAGATAGGATGTTCTTGAACACAGTTCTACGGGTGAACATGCCTGGGCACCTTCATCTGGAGTACTACCACCAGAGACAAGAGAGGAATTCATAGGACAGATTGATTTAGATGATGAGGAAGAAAGTGAGACTATGCAGGATCTAAGGCAAGCTACTAGGAAGGGAAAAAAAAGAGCGGCTAACCAAGAAGAATTGCAAAAGAAGGTTGATAAGAAAGGAAAAAAAATTGGAGGCGCTGCAAAACTTTGTGGTCAAATTGACCGTCTTGTTGAAGTTTATGAAAGTAGGAGTTCTGCAAACTCATTGATGAGGCCGCTAAATTTAGGCAGTAGTATTGCAGAAGTGATAGCGTCTGTTGCAAAATTGTCTGGTTATGAGCCACCTAACGAGCTATGGTTGTTTGCTACATGTTTATTTTGTAGTGCAGAGAAGCAAGAGATGTTTGCCACTATGAAAGATCCTGAAGTGCAGCTAACTTGGTTGAAATATATGTTCAACAAAGAACAATAAGGATATAAAACTATGAATTAGGACTGTGTGGTTTGTGTTTATTGAATGTTGCTTGTACTTTGTGTTTATTGAATGTTGGATTATGATTTCTTATTAAACGTTGGATTATTCATGAATGTCGGATTATGATTTCTTAGTGATCGTTGGATTATGACTTGTGGAATGTTGAATTATGTGTTATGTTACAGGTGTATATTCAATATGAACACCTATGATGATGATGATGTTGAGGATTTGGAGGATGGTCTAATTATATGTGCTGTAGCGAAAGCTGTTGAAACATATTATTTAAAATATGTCCACAAAACTTCGTGTATGAATTCTTCCCAAACAAGTAATATTTGGTTGATGGAAGTACTACAAGGACATCATGTGCGATGCTATAGAATGTTTAGGATGAACAAAGATGTCTTTTATAGATTATCCAATGACTTGCAAACTAATTATGGATTGAAAGGTTCAAGGAGAATGAGTGCAATTGAAATATTAGAAATGTTCTTGCATATGTTGGGACATGGTGTGAAAAATAGATTAGCGCAAGAGAGATTTCAACATTCTGGTGAGACTGTTAGTAGATATTTTGGTGCTATGTTGGATATTGTATGTAAGATGGCAATAGATATTATCAAACCGATGGATTCGGAGTTTCGTGGCATTCCCGAAGAAATAAGGAGAGATACAAGATATATGCCTTATTTTAAGGTAAAATTTGACTCGTCTTCTAACTTATTTGCAAACTAGAAGTGTAGGTTGACGATTTTCTTCTATGTTATTATTTTTAGGATTGTATTGGTGCTATAGATGGAGTACATGTTGAGGCTTTAATACCACATCCGGATCAAGTTCCATACATTGGTAGGAAAGGAATATCGATTCAAAATGTTATGGTTGCATGTAATTTTGACATGCACTTCACATTTGCTTGTGCCGGATGGGAATACACTGCACATGATACAAGGGTTTTTCTATCCGTGCTACGGAATCCAAATTTAAACTTTTCTAAGCCTCCAAATGGTAACCTTCATACTTGCTTTGTATTATTATAACATTTTACATACTTGCTTTGTATAATTATTACAATACAAAACAAAATTTTCAATTGTCAGGAAAATATTACTTGGTGGATGCGGGGTACCCACAAATGAGAGGTCATTTGAGACCATATAAAGGTGAAAGATATCATCTTCCAGACTTTCGTAGGGGTGCTGAACAACGGGTCATAAAGAGGTATTCAACCACATGCATTCTTCTCTTAGGAGCATCATTGAACGAACTTTTGGCATATGGAAGAAAAGATGGGCAATTTTAAGGGATATGCCTAATTACCCGTTCAATAAGCAAGTGAAGATTGTCATTGCTACAATGGCTCTTCATAACTACATACGGAAGTATTCTGAACGTGATCGTCATTTTGATGACCCTAGGGACTATTGTGAAGAGAGCGATAGTAGTGATGATGATGATGAAGAATACCAAAATTATGAAATTGAAGGATCGCATGAGATAGAAGCATTAAGAAATAGAATAGCGGCAAGTTTGATGAATGCATCTAATTAGATTACTTTTAAGTACATTAACAATATTGTACTAATGAATTGAAGTAGTCTAAAATATTTCAATTGAAGTAGTTTGTCATACTAATTAATATTTAAGATAAAGTTTATAAATATGTTTCTTTTACAAATAAAGTATATTTAGTAATTCACCTTTATTGGTTAAGAAAATTAAATTAATGGCACATCTAGTATTATACATTTTTTGGTCATTTTACACAGTCACAGCTATTTTACATAAAAGTTTACCAAACACTATCATACTATTTTTTTTTTTTCCAAAAGCACTTTCACAAAAAAGTTTACCAAACACTTTGCTGCTTTTTTTCACAGCCGCTTTTTTTCATAGCACAACAGAAGCAGCTTTTTTTCAAAGCATAGCAATACCAAACCAACCTTTAGTTTCATTACAGTTTTTGGCTTCAAAACTACATCAAATCGAACTGTGCCCACTCGTAGCATCTATCCTTGCCTACATTGCATTTCCTCATTATGAGGATTCGGAGGATCCTCCAATCACATCTGTTCATCGTATATCGGATGGTCAGTTTTCGTCAGATACTGTTTATATTTAATTTTAAATAAAAAAAATTATAATAATTTCTAACTGCATGATGTACGATAAACGAATACAATTTAAGGATTCTCAATATCCTTACAAAGAGAATTCGACTAGAATCCTCACCCTACGATTCCCTCTAAAACAATAGGAACTGTCCTATTTATACTGGGGAATGTCGGCAACAACTAGCCTATGATTGGTTTGTGGAAGCGGCAAAAAAAAAAAAAAAAAAAGATAAAAGAATGAATCTGCAACTTAATGACTAAGTCCTCTGGAAACAAGTGTCAATAGTTTGATAGGATGGAATCTACACCTTGCCACCTCCATGCACAATTAGTGCTTGCAAGCAGCTTTAATACGAATACAAGAGAGATAGGCATGAACCAAATCATGCCACGTCAAGTTTGAAGCTAAAAACTTAATGCCCAAGTGAAGTAATGCATATCGGTTAAGAACTTAAGCTGCTGCATTGTGCCTTAATTGGTGTGAATGTGTAAGGATTGGACACCTAATAAAATAGGTGGACATCTTAATAGTCATTAAAGCTGCGTGACTCAGCTTGCTCAATGGTGCAGGAGGTGTCAAATGCATGGTAAAATGGAGATGATATGTTTCATCGCGAAAAGTGTTTTTTTTTTGTAGTAATAAAAATATTATTATCTTAAGTTTACTATATTTGGTGTAGCCCAAATTTTGCAATTTTGGGACATGACTTATATGTATATCAACATCTCAATGGTCAGATGGTAATTATATTGAATACATTTTTATAACAGATGTATTATATTATAATCACATGAATTGTATCTGATTATTAAATAATAATTGTGTTAAATACATTATGAGGTCCAATTTGCGAAATGATAAAGTAGCAACTCACATTATATATAGATAAAGTCAATTATTACTTTTGCAATTAACTCAGTTGCTACTTTATATATTTAGGAGTAAATTACATTTTGGCCCCTTAAGTGTGGACATCATTTCGCTCTCATACCATTTTAAAAATATTATAACGTCATACCTAAAATTATCATTTTGTTACAACATCATACATCTGTTATATATTTAATTAAATTGGATGTTAGTTGATGACATGACAAATGAAGGTCCCACATTTTTAAAAGAAGAGAGACTATATTCATACATCCCAAATTATTTCTTCCACACCTTTTTAATTTTTTAATATTCTTCTATCAAGTGTTAGACCATTTCCAATGGTTGGGCTAAAAACCAAATATTTTAGTTCGGAAAATTTTGCTTTTAGCTCAGAAATAACTTTTCTGCTCCAACCGTTTTAGTCTAAAATTTTAGCCCAGGATTATTAAAGAATGAACTTAAGCTATTTTTTTGTTAAATTAAATTAAAAAATAAATAAATATGTAGACTATTGTAAATTAATTTTATGAACATTTTAATCTAAAAAAATTTAAATTCTGATAAATATTGGGTGGAGTCCACTCTGATTTCTGGGCTAAATTTTGGGGGGAATTTGGCCTTGGTTTAGCATTTAGCATTTAGCCCCAATTTTCCCCTTGGGTTAGAGTGGGTTTGGGGGAAAATTTTGTGGGGTAATTTGGCTTTTAGCCCACCATTGGAGTTGGTCTTAGTGGTGTTGTGGAGCCAAAAATAATCCCAAAAATTATGAAACTGACACGTGGATTATTTCCCAAGAGAGACAAGGCTGACCATATTAAATGAGCAAAGAGCAGTCTCATTCACCACGTGCAGCAGAGAGAGTAGACAGAGGATCAATGACTGCTCAAGGCGCCCATGCTCGTAGGAAAAGTTAAAGATATTTATGATAGAATAATCCCTTATTCTTATCATAAATACATTCCTAATTAGAGAAAACATCTTTCAAGTAAGTACTCCTAATCCCATTTATTTAGGATATTTACCTAATTGCTCCAAGATATTTATTTACACAAATATCTTGGAATATTCTCACCAGTGTTCTAAAAATCGGCCTAGGCGATGAAGACCCGCCTTGATTTAGGGCAAATCGTTTCGAAAAATTGGTTTGGAGCTAGGCGGTCCTAGGTGGCGGGCTAGGCGGCACCTAGGCGGTCCTAGGCGGCTCCTAGGCGGGTTTGATTTTTTATTTTAATTAATTTTGTGCTTTATTATTTTTTAGTTTCATGGTGGTATACTTATGGAAATGGTGTACCTAATTTGCAAGGGATGGATTGATTACAAGTTCATCCAATTGTGAAATGAATTGGAGAACTTTTGAGGTGATACATACAAAAAAAAAATAAAAAAAAAGAAATAAACTAGATACAACAACGTTAAATAATTTAGTCTATGTCCAATCCAATGCAAGGATCATGAATAAGAAGAATTTAGTTTATCATCCAAGAATACTCCTCATTATGATTATATGCTTACTGTTTTTTAAATATTGAACTTGTTGGATGGATGTACTTTGTGTATTCTTCTAATTCTATTTTTGCATTTTATCATTCTTCTATTATCCATATAAGTATAGTGGTTTTTTTTTTTTTTTTAATTTTTTATTTTTAAGTGTAAATTGGCACTTATTTACAAGATATATATAATAAATTTACATAAATCCACCTAGGCGCTTGCCTAGGCCCTGCCTAGCCACCTCTGTGCTAGGCCACTGCTCACCGTTCGACTAGCACTTAACGTTTTTTAGAACTTTGATTCTCACTTAAACACAAGCCTAGGGCCGGCCACCCCTAAACCCTAAAGGGCCGGCCCATCTCCTCCATCTCTCCTATAAATAGTCAATTTATCTCCAAAATTCAGTAAGCTTTAGCTACCCCTAAAGAGGCCTTTTGCTATCCACAAACACATTTTTCTCATAATTCTAAGTTTGGCATCGGAGATTCTTCGGCCAAAGCCCCTCATTCATTGTGAGCGTGTGAGACTTTTGGCCTTAATTTTAGGTGTTATTATTCAGGTGCAGATTTGTCAATCAAAGAAAGGCAAAAATTTGCATCCACAGGTGTGTCAAAAAATATTAAAGAAACAAAAAGGTGTGCGCTCAATAAAGGACAGGAGCCACGAGGATAATAAATAAATAAATAATGTTTAATAAAGCATATTAAAAAAAAATACTAAAACTAAATAGTAAGGGTGCGTTTATTGCACCGGACTATCTCGAACTGGACTAGCTTCAAGGACTAAGTTGGACTGGCTTAGACTATACTAAGCTGGACTAATTTAGTTAAGTGTTTAGTCCAGTGTCGAACTAACAAGCAGGATAATTAACAAACTCTAATATTATATTATTTAATCCATAATTATTAATATTTTATTTTTATCCTATCTTTTTATCCCTTTATTCCTCCCTTACCATCCCATTCTCTTTTTCTCCCTCTTTTTCTCCCTTTTCCATTCCAATCTTTTCCTCCCTAGATTAAAGCTCTCGATTCCAGCCTCTCTCCTCCCTCCTTCTCAATTTCAGTCTGTATCTCTCTCTAGCTCTACGCTAGTTGAATGGAACCCTCACGGCTCCATTTTTTTTTAATGAGTTGCAAGTTTCTCGACGAGCTTTCCGACAAAACTTCATTGGATTAGATGAGGTTTGCATCTATTCCCCATCTCTAGTCCCGGATTCGAGCTTTGCATGCTCGAATCTATCATGGATTTGAAAAAACCCAAATCGGCCAAGACTTCTAGGCCATTTCTCGGCCACCTCCAACCACCTTTTGGCCTCGATTCAGGTAGAATCGTAATCCCCTCACTCCCATCTTCAATTTGGTATTTTATATGAAAATTGGTTGTGATAGTCCAATGGTTTTCGAGGGGGAGCGGTTGAGGAGTAGGGCAAGGAAGAGACGGGGGGAGAAAGGGGACAATCTTAGCTAGTCCCATGGTTTTCGAGGGGTCTCACTAAGGCCAGCTAGTCCCTAATTTAGTCTAGGCGAATGAGACTTAGTCTCATTAAACCTAGTCCCTGTCGGGAACAAACATGGGACTGGACAAACCCTTAGTCTTGTCTAGTCCTGTACACTTTAGTGAGGGCAAACAAACGCCTCCTAAAAAAGCAAAGTCACTCAATACTACAATCTGGTGTATTCCTCTTCATTTGGAAGTGAGAGGTTTTAGGTTTGAATCTCATGGATGACAAATTTGATACCAAATTAGGCTACCCATTGTGTGACTTAGCCGAACTCCTCATCCCCTTAGTGTAAAAATATCAATGTACTAAAAAAAATAGTAAAAGAGCAATAACAAGACTCTTGATATAACAAGAAATTTTTTGTTACTCCTTTAAGATTTGTTTTTTAATTAAAGAAATCTTCCCCCCTCCCTCCCCATCGGCACCGCCTTCATCTGTCATCCCTTATCCCTCATTTTCCCTCTTTGTTTTTTCATGGACATTGCTTGACTAGAGGGCTAAGTTTTGTAGATCGAATAGCCTAGATTTGAATAATTAAAGAAACAACTCACTGATATACCAAAATTGC